AGGAAGGAGATGTGACTGTTCGGCTGTGTATGAGTGTGTTCCTGTTGGCAGTTGGTGAAATGTTCGAGGGATTTGAAATGGCGGCTGCAGAAACCCTGTGTAACAAGGTTGCAATATGAAGATCCTGTTATATATGTATTAATAAAATGAGTACTTCGTCATACAGGAATTATTGACTGACTTGTGTGTCCCTCCCCCGGGCCCGTGTGCCATAGGTGGCCGTGCACTGGCCTGGAGGTATGCTGGGCCTGGACATTAGCACCAGCTCACCAGTGGCACCCGGGGAAGTCGCCCCCCCCACTTAATATGCCACTTAATGGCTTGCTTTATTAATAGTCAATCACACAGTTAGATCCATAGAACTCAGCTCATATGTTACTTTAAAAAATAAATGATCAAATCTTGATATCTATAGAGTTATTCATTAGATCCTGCATTTAAAATTATCCTTGTTATTAAATGTGTTCATATCCTCATCCAGGAGGTGTAAAAGGAAATGTTCTGCTTGACATTGGCCATGGACCCACCATTTACCAGGATCTATCAGCATGTGAAGCCTTTAAAGAGATCATCGGTGCTGACTATACTGACCGTAATCGAGAATACTATGAAAGATCGTTAAGGAATGAACCAGGAACATTTGATTGGACCGAGACAATAAAAACAGTCTGTGAAATGGAAGGCAAAGGGTAGAGTAAAACATTATATTATTAAATAACCTAACTTAATGCTTCACATTTAAAACATGTATTCTTAACACTAAAGATTGGAAAACTACATATAGGTGTCCGGCCCACGTTTCCACCCTGTGAAAAAGGTATTTTACTGATATTTTTCCAGCGCCTCGCTGGTCTCCTCATGGCTGGCCCTCCTTGTTTGAGATCATCAACAGGGTGAGTGACTGCCATTAGAGGTGTTTCTAGGCAGTAATGTAAACACTGCCTTTTCTCTGAAGAGGCAGGGCTTACATTAACATATCTACAGGGACATGCGACAGACACCAGAACAACTAGATTAAGCTGTTGTTGTTTTGGTGACTATATTGTCTCTAATTTGAATTACCCCAAAGTAGTTAAAACTATATTCTCCTACAAATAATAAAAACACATATAAGTATATGGTGCTTTAGCAACAGCATGTTCTAACAAATAATTGATACCTCCCAGTTTTTAAAGGAATGCAGTTGGGATGGGATGGGATGGGATGGGTGGGGGTGATTGGACCCCGGGAAACTTGCAACCTCATGTTGAATTCAAAGTGAATTCAACATGAATTTCAAATGTAAGGCAAAAGAAAGCAAACTGGAAGTATGGTTGAATTAGAGAATGTTTCCAGTTTGGATATTTTTATCTTGGAAATTAGTATGACCACAGTGCAAGTGTGTCTGATGATGTCCTTACATTGTGCTGGTCCTGCCATCACAGTTTTGGTTTTCTGGTGCCCTGTATCTGAAGATACCAGGGAACAAATTCAGGATAGCAGAACAGGACCTCGAGATTGGTGCTTTTCACCCTAAATAAGGACAAGCTGAAGGCCTGGTTATTTCAATTTGAAATTGATTGTTTCCAAGCAGAGGAAACAAGGTATTGCTAATCTAGAACACATTTTCATATAACCATAAACGGCAAAGTCCTGCACAAGAAAAATTAATAGAAACCATGTTATTTATCCAAGGGTATTTTTTATTGACACGTGCAATTATACTATTCCTGTAATGCTGATTAAGTTTGGGTATATGTCTGCAATTCAGCCTAATTTGGATCAATTGGGTGAATTTCCAAATCACAGCCGAACCGAACTGCACTATGCCAAGCATGTTTTGTTCAGGGGTGTGATTCTGAATTCCGTCCATGGAGCAAAAAAAAAAAAAAAAATCATTGGTGGGGAAAAAAAAGATGTTTGATGACTAAGGGACTGAATGTTGATTTTATTCACAGATGAAATGAGAAGTGAGGAAGACAGAGCAAAAGGAGAAGCAGTAAAAATTCATATTTTATAAATTTAACAAATATATAATTTTTCTCATTTGATCTGTGAACTAAATGGCATGACAATCCTCCTATCAGTATACTGCAAAATATATACATATAATGTGTTTTGCAGCTCACTGATGGGCCTATTTTCACACCCTACAACTGATTCAACTTCGGAATCAAAATCTCATTTCCGAAATTCTGACAAGACAAAAGAACATTCATCTGAAATTTGTGTCCTGAAAAACTTTCTATTTTTTGAAAAACGTATTTCATTTTTTTATTGTGCGCATGTCTAATGCTGACTATTACATGGGAATTAAATCAATATACTGACCGGCCAAATATATATTTTCTCTTTCAGTACAACAGTTGAGCAGAAAAGAGAGAAACTAAGAAACACTGTGAAAATGACCATAAAATGTGATGTCACAAAAAGCAATCCAACAGAGCCAGTGCATCTGCCACCGGTCGACTGCATAATGACCCTCGGGTGTTTGGAGTGTGCTTGCAAAGATCTGGACACCTATCGAAATGTCCTTAAAAACATCTCCAGTTTATTAAAAGTAGGGGGGCATTTAATAATCACTGAAGTTCTTAATTGCACCTCTTACCTTTTAGGGGGCAAAAGGTTCTCTTGTTTGTCTTTAGATGCAGAATTTTTGAGAAATGCCATCACCGAGACTGGTTATACCATCTTGGACCTTGATGTCATTCCAAGGAAGTATGACAAAGAGCAATACGATCTTTGCAATCACGACTCCAGCATATTTGTTCTTGCTCGCAAAGTCAAAGATGTTTAGTGGGAGACTGTCATTAATAGGGCTTTGTCATCTTAAAGGACCACTATAGTGCCAGGAAAACATACTCGTTTTCCTGGCACTATATAGGTTCCTGAGGGTGCCCCCACCCTCAGGGACCCCCTCCCGCCCGGCTCTTGAAAGGGGAAAAGTGGTTAAACTTACCTTTTTCCATCGCTGGGCGGGGAGCTCTCTGCCTCCTCTCCTCCTCCGTTCCTCCTCCTGGGCTGAATGCGCACGCTCGGCAAGAGCTGTGCGCACATTCAGCCGGTCACATAGGAAAGCATTCATAATGCTTTCCTATGGACGCTGGCGTGCTCTCACTGGGAAAATCACAGTGAGAAGCACGCAAGCGCCTCTAGTGGCTGTCAATGAGACAGCCACTAGAGGATCAGGGGGAAGGCTTAAACCATTCATAAACATAGCAGTTTCTCTGAAACTGCTATGTTTATGAAAAAATGGGTTAACCCTAGCTGGACCTGGCACCCAGACCACTTAATTAAGCTGAAGTGGTCTGGGTGCCTAGAGTGGTCCTTTAATGGTGTTTGAATTGTGAATAAAACTCATACATAACGTAAGCAAGATAACCTTTCCTCTTCATAAATTGCCACTTTTCCGCTGTAACACGAAGTAATGTGAAATGATAAAAAATAATGGCTATGTATACAAAGTGTTATTTTTATATTTAAGGCAATTGTTTTTTTTTCACGTGGTGGAGAGATGGATTATTTTAGGCACATTACAGTAAAGTAAGAATAAGGGCACAGTAACAGGAAACTATAACAATTTTGTCACATTTAGAACATTCTTTGCAGCTCCTTCCAATATCAGCTAAGCTTCTAAAAATATATAAATGGTGGCTGCCTTAATGAACACAAATAATCCCCAATTGTGGAAATAGTAATTTAATACATTTTCATAAAAAACAGTCTTAAAAAAATGATTCGGCAAAATGGACTTTCCCCACTTAATTAACAATGCCACGGCTTTATAGAATTGGAAATGCTAAATAAGTGGAGCAATCCATACTGGCACAAAGCTTTTGGGGATCAGAGTGTGGGTAAATGATATACTGTTGCCCCTTAAAGGGCTACTGCAAGCATCAAAACCACTGCAGCCTGCTGTAATGGTTATGATGTGAGGAGGAAAAAGGCCCCATTATACTTTTTGCAATAGTTCTCAATCAACCTGGGTATCAACAGTTTTCCATGGACAATGACATGCATCGGGCTTCTGCAGAGCTGTCTCTTTATTTAGGTGATAACTTAAAGTAAAATACTTTTCATGGCTTCCGTTCTATAATAATATACTATTATCTAGTCTAAATACAATGTGTCCTCTTTAACTTGTTAACATTTCTGTTTAGTGTAGAGTTATTTTTTTATTCCTAGTATAGTACAATAAAAAAATATCCATATGTAAAGTTGACTCAATACATCTCTATGGGGAGTGTTCGGCATCTTATTGCAGAGCGTTCAGATGCCGAATGTCAGTCTTACAGTCATTGCAGTACAATATTGAAGTGGTCCCTCTAGTGGCCATAGTGGTTCTTGTGCCTAGATATTCATTTAATTAGCATGGGTCTATGGATCCAGGCTACAATATAATGCACTAGGTCCCATGGAAATGATTTTAGCTGGTGTCAGTTTTTAACACCTTTTTAAAAAATATATTTTTAATAGTTTCATATGCACAAGATAGATTTATTATATTTTATTATACTTTGTAGGTTAAGATCTGTATCAAGTAAAGTTAATCATAAAAACACAATTATACATATATATTTCTATAGTTTTATCATGTCACTGATCTAAAAATAAATAAATTAGTAGATGATATATACAATATCACTAATATTTCTTTTTATTTTCACTGCTCATAGCAATTGTTTTGCTGACAAATATATATGCTTTAGCAACGTTCAATAAAAATAAATAACTCATCCCAGAATTGACTTATTGTTTCTTTGAAATGATTGGGAGAGATATATCATATTCTTTTACCTTTTCATGGTCTTATAGAAGACAATGATGGTGTATGATTCTATCAATATTATTTACTAAAGCCTGAATGGATCCAAATGGAGCAAAACAATCTGGCTCCGTATGGGGAATTTGGACATCAAAATCTGGACATTTTATTTAATTGTGACAAGGAACATAAAGACAATTATGGCAGAATACTTATGCTAGTGGGACTATTCTACGATGCCCCAATTACCATACCAAGCCTGTACGCACCAAATATTAATCAGATGAAATTCCTGAGCAGAGCAAGGAATTCCTAGTAATTATGTGCAATACTCCTACTACTCTCCCAGAAAGGATTGGCCCAAGCTAAGGCTTTGCCCTTAAGTTGGTTCATCAGGTAACCAATTGTTACGATTGCCTCCAGGCTAGCAGGAGGTTGGATCGCTTGGATGTCCTGGTTCCCGAAGTCAGAGATTTGAACGGCGCTTCAATCGGTAGAAACCTGCAAGGGTAGAACGTCCCACTAGCTATAGTAGCGCTAGTATCCCCAAGTCCCTACAACACGAGTCGAGGCTGCGAGTTGAGGGTCAAAACGAACTGGCTTTACTGGCACACAAGCATGGCAATTTATGCAAGTCCCCAGGTCCAGGGTCAGCCCCCCATGGCCCTGATGGGATACAGGTACAGTACAAGTATTCAACCAATCACAATACAGTGTATCATTCAAAATAGTACCCGCCCAGCTTGGAGATAATGACGCCAACGGTTTATAAAATCTAATTATCTCCAAGCGCCAAAAAGACCATGCTTTATTGTGTCCCAGAAAATAGCATAAAAATACATAACTTTAATAGATTAAGGGGAATATAGTTCATTCGACTATTCGTTCGACAGCTCAGACCTGGGCGCATCAAATATATGAATGGCGCTCAGCTCCCACGAACAGAACGGGGGTTTTCTGCCATAGAAAGTTTTATTCGGCACTTTGGTGTATCATCCCTAATGGTGGCCATGCTTTGAGGTCGGTCAATGGACAGCGGGATCTCGGCCTGATACTCATGGAGCAGAGGTCGGCTACAACAGTGCACGAATCCCCGCTCTCAGCCTGGTTGTCCTGGTCGTTCGGGAGACGAAGAGCGACCACCCGGTAGGGGGTACTTAGCCTGCTGTTAACCGCAGGAGCCGCGTTCTAATTGCTGCCACACGCCGGAATGCAGGTGGTCTTTGTTCATGCAGCTTTTGGCACCTTCCCTTCGGGGAATTATATGCGAACGTGGGTCCTCTGGGACCGTCCATTAGTTTGTGGTTAACCGCAGACCGCAGCCCCTTGTGTGGTTTAATGAGCGGCACACTCCGCCCGTAGGGTGGTCGGTCGTTCGGTATCTTTAGGGGTGATGGGGTTAAGTGGCGGCACATGCCAAGGACTAGGTGGTCCCTCGTTTGTACAGACAAATAGACCTTTATAATAGTTCATGCCATGCGTTCATATGGTCGAAATGCTGCATAATAGGGGTTTGTAATTGACAGAGAGTTATGTTGTAACAGTATATGGAGTCTTTGTAACACCAATCTTAGCTCTATCCATGGGGAAAGATCCCGGTGAGGCCGGTGAGGCCTCAAAATTATACTTTATTTGATTCAGGAATTCGCGGCATTCTTGCATATTACCATCAAAATGCGGGGGAGGAGATAGTAGGTGCCTTATGTACAGTAGGTGGAGGTAAACTAGGCGGAGGTGATACAGTGGGAGAAGATGCACGATGCACAAATACCGCAAGGTGAGGAGGAATATGTTACAATATCCTATAGGGAAAGCTTAAGCCCTGCATTCCTGAGAGTGGTAAACTAGCTGACATCCTACCTTCTACATGCATGATATGGGAAGGGAGCCTGTATCGTTATTTTGTTTTTTTAAAAATGTGTCTGATTTGGGCTCAAACTCTTGGCATTTAATGTAACCTAGCAATGTCATTGTTTATAACAAGTATGCCCTGGGGACTGTTTGTTTTTATATAAAACACAGGGCAGGTTGTTTAAAGTATTCCTTTCTTTAATATTCTGGTGATAGACAACTGATTGCAACATATACATTTATAGGTCTATTTATTCATCATGCAGAGGTCATCATGTTCAAAGGAACAAAAAAAAAGCAATATTTTCACGATAGTCTCAAATATTTAGAATTATTATTATTAGCATTAATATAGCACCAATATATTCCACATCACTTTATTGAAAGTAATTGGTATACATAATATTAACGGAGACGAGAACTGACGAAGGTCTTGCTCTTAAACAAGCTTACAATCTGTGAGGAAGCGGTAAAAACACACAAGATCAATATTGTATTAATCAAATCAAGAGAACAAAAGTCATAAATGAGAACAAAATCTATAAAAAAGGTTTCATTTTTTTTTTTGTCAATCTTTCTTTTATTGAGGCATAGTCACTACGCATCAATAAAAGAAAGTCCAAAAACTATTTTTTTAATTGATTTTGTTCTCACTTATGTAGGCACCCAGACCACTTCAGTTCATTGAAGTGGTCTGGGTGCTATGTCCCTTTTGCACTTAGAGCTGCAATGTTAAACATTGCAGTTCCAGTGAACTGCAATGTTTACACTGCAGCAATAAGTCTGCCCTCAGTTGCTGTCTACTAGACAGCCACTAGAGATCTTCCGGAATCGTAACGGACTTTTGGTCCGTTGTCTGACACTGGACGCAGTGGCAGATCGAGGGCAGGGGGCAATGGCCCATGTGTCTAATTTCCTCCCTTTACCCCCTCTATGTGTCTTACCCCCTCTACCCCCTTGTGCCAGCTTACCTCCTCCTTGTAGCATGGCTGAGCGGACTAAGTTAGAGGAGCTTGTCTCCCTCCACCCTGTCTGTCAGACCAGGTAAAGGGAAACAAGTATATATACATGTGACAAACTCCCCTTTTCAAGTGAGTTTGCCACGAGTTCCTGGAGCTGCCTGCTTGCCAGCCTCCTTCCCACAGACTATGGACCTTGTAAAATGTGATGTAAAAGTCTCCATTCGTGTATTTGGACTATATGGTTTGGGAACCGGACAGCTGTAGGAATCGGAGACCTGGAGCTTGTTAATGTTCGCCTGGGTGGCTGCATTTCCTATGGATGGCCATGAAGTTGCGGCCATCTTGTTCGCATGAACATAGGCAGTGGTGTTTGGTCGTCGAGTTCATGGAACTATTTTCGGACACTGAAACTCCCAAACACCATTGGACTTCCATGATCGTCTATGTTCGGTTTTATAACACCTAGGAAGACACTGTTCAGTGGAATCATTCGTCGGAACAAGCTCCAGGGTAAAATCATTGACTATGTTCGGTAGTTTGTTTATTTTTAAACTACTGAACTATTCTATGGAACTATTTTGGGTATGGGTCCATGCATGCGGTCGGTCAAGCAAATTACTTCCAGGAAATTCCTGAACCCCTGAACTGATCTGGGTGATTTTTGGATATGTTGGTCACCCAGATCAGGACTATCAGGGGTTTTATGTATTTTTATGGTATTTTTGAAAAAGTATATTATTTTCTGTGCTTGATAATTTGGATTAGATTAGCACAGTTCCTGATCCAATTATCTCCCAGGCACAGATGAGGGATTATCTCATTATGTATGGGAGTGTCCTGGATCTGAGAGCCCATGTAATTGTGTATTTGTTTCTACTGGGGTTTACTCTCAGGTTCAGGGGGGAGTGCCCCTTGCATGGGGACATGCATATAAGGCCAGTTGTGGCTGCCATTAAAGAATTCCAGCTTGCGCTCAAAAACTGTGTCGCCCTGTTATTAGAGGGAAGGAAGATTTAGCCCCTGTGTCTGCTGTTCCAGCTTGCAGGGGATTCAAAGGGAAAGTCCTTGTAAGGACTAGAGCTCCCAGGACTGAGTGTCGTCCAGTGCCTGGGAGTGTCTAGAGCGACTTCCCCATTCAGCTCCAGGAAGGAGTGGTTCCAGTCAAGTCATGGCGACTGTGGGCAGAAGTGCTGCGGTTTTTCCCCTTTTTCAGCTAGGGAGTGGTCCTTGGCGGAGGTACCCAGCCAGGGTTACAGGGAGCTTCACTACTATATATAGACTATAGACCTTTTTTGTTTTTTGTTTTTTATGGAATAGTAAGATTTCTCGTCATTATTGACTTGATCTCTGGAATTTTGATACTAGGATGCTGTGGTGATATGACAAAATACAGCTCGCAGGTGGATGATTACCCATGACAGGGCAGGTTAACTATTGTTGCTTCATTACAATCTAGGTAGAAATATATGTACCTTTTTTATTTCCAGCATTTTTCTATCAAGTATTTGCAAATTGTACTGTACCTTTAATTAGGTTAGGAACAGCCTTGAAGTTATGACACCTAGACTGGTGCATTTCAAATCAGTGGGTAATGTAGGTTGAGTTTAGCCTCAATTTTCTGTGTGTATATATCTTCACAGTCATATTAATACTTACTTTGTGTTTTCTCATAGTGAGTGTTATTGCTTTTTACTAGTGCCTATTAGTGAGGATCTTAAGCTATCACTATTCTGTGGAACTATATAACTCCATTTGAGGTGTTTATCAATTTTTGCCTCTTGTAATGCTGCTACAGATTTGTGCCCCCATATCTTTCTTTTGTGATTTATTTTAGTTTACTAGTTGCTAGGAAGCTTTTCTTTCCTAGCAACTAGCTCCCAATGATATTGCCAGCCGTCCGTCCACGTGATGACGTCATTGTCGCACGTCCGGACGCCGGCCGAACCCATGTGTGAGACAGACCGAGCTGTGAGGGAGGAACAAGTGGTTTGGTGAAGGGTAAGTTGATTATCAATTTGTATTTTACTATATATGTTCACTATGATTGTATTTGTATTAATCCTGATGAAAGTCTGGAATTAACAGACTGAAATGTCGATTTTGTATTTAACTCATTAAAAGTTAAGTTTTATTTTCATTTATAGTCCTGAGAGTGCTATCTTATTTTTCTTTCTATATATATATAGACATAGCAGAAATGACCGCACTCCAAGGACTTTATAGAGATTTTCAAATAAAATGTAACTTTTATTCAATCCATTTAAAAAAGTCAACGTTTCAGCTCCCACAGGAAGTTTTCATGTTTTTTGTCCTGATGAAAGCTCCATGTGGGAGCTGAAACGTTGACTTTTTAAATGGATTGAATAAAAGTTACATTTTATTTGAAAATCTCTATAAAGTCCTTGGAGTGCGGTCATTTCTGCTATGTCTACATGATCCTTGCCAGACCAGCACCGGGCACCACAGGATTACACCAGGAGTGCAAGCCCTCGCGCTATATATATATATATATATATATATTAAAATACACTTAGAATAATAGTTTGTGTATGTGTGTATATAAAAGTACTTGTACCTGTGTATGTACTTTTACTTAATTTATAAACTTTGATTAAACTTTTATTAAACTTTTAAAAATGCAATTTCAGGCACATGGGGCCTTATATCCCAGACAGTAACCCTGCAGGCAGAGCTGCAGACAGCCATTCTGGCCATGTGATTGCAAGGACTCACATGGCCCGGGAGACCGGATCAACTGAAGGGGGACTGCATGGGATGTCATGCAGTCCCCAGGATTACGACCACCAGTGGGGGAATGGCAAGGAGCCGGTAAGTAATAAGGATGGTGGGGGACATTCTATGCCGCCCACTGGTGTTCTATCAGATTACTATACCTTAGTAAGGATGGCATAGAACACCTGCCTTCCTTAAGGGGTTAATCTAATTCCATTGCATGACTAACATATGCCTGCTTGAATCAAACTGTAGTGAATGAAAGCTTCTGCAGAATTCCAAACAAGAAAAGCGAGAGCCTTCATTACTTCTTTTTTTATCCCCCTTCTCACAGGTAATTTTTTTAAAACTTGTTCTTGTAACTTATGCAGGGTGTCTTCTTGATCACATGTTACTTTTGAGGTCTTTGAGTATTTTCTATTCCATTTTGCACATTTTTCAATAAATGGAGTACTTTTAAGGATCCACCGTACCTGTTGAAATGATTTGGAGCTTACTGATTAAAAAGTGTGGTTCTTTATTGGAATTGTGATGAAGATGGAATTTGGAACTTTGGAACCAGCACCAGAAGTGAATCTATCTACTACAATAAGTAACCACTGTGTACTTTTGAGATTTTTTACTTTTCTGTGTATTTTTTGTTTACTTTTATATTCTATATGTGTAGGGAATAAAAGACTGGAAATTAAGACAAATGGAGACAGATGATGGATGACTGAGCCAGAACCAGATACCTCAGGCCATGAACAATTGTTCATAAAAATGCAAAGAAATTTATATAAATAATATGTAAAATTGTCTTACTGAAACTGAACACATGGATTGTAAGGGTGATCGGTGTAAAGCCCCAATACATGGATCTGTTCCATCAATTCCCTCCAAGATCACTGCATTACACGCTCCAAGCACTACTTTCACAACACACCCAGTACATATTTGCTTGTTTCAGCGTGTAGTTGGAAAACACTTTAGAACATAAATATAATAGGTTGACCAAGTTAATATTTCAAACCCTTCAAACAGATTGTACAAATATAATAATAAGTTGATGGCACGCATAAACTAATTTAAAACATGAAGGTGTGTAATGGCAAATTTCAGCTGTACATTCATTTGTAGTATTACAAAACAGAGCTGCATGCTTTTGGAGCTCGGTGTTAACATTTTCTATGTACAAAACTATTTTACATTATGACACCACACAAAAATATGCAACAAGGAGAAAGAAAGGCTGCGCCAAAATAAGAGGTACTAAAAATATAAAAATACAGTAAAAAATAATAAAAATGTATATAAAAGAAGTCCAATAGAATGTCTGAGGTTGGATAGACTGGGTCACTGTATTTGCTGGTAGTGTGTCTTCTATGTTTCTAGTAGTCCAAATTGTCTCGTGATATGGAAGACACAAGGAGAAAGGACCAATCGTGCAGAGTGTATAGGATGAGTAAGAAATAAATTAAAATATAAATGGAACACTCACATTTGAATGAGCTATAGCCAGTTCATGTGTAACAGGCATACGGCGGAATTATCCCCGTGTTTAGGATATGTGGGTGCTTGTCCTCCAGACGATAATGATGTCCAACTCTCAGGAGAAGGGGAGAATAAAAACAGCAAATAGTGCTCTCTGGTGATGTGATGTAATATTGAATGAAATAAAATAAAATATACTCACAAATGGAGTGCAGACGACACTGCACTCTAATAGTAGCGTTGGCGGTATGATCCCCACCTCGAGATAAATGTTAAAAGGTGATTAAAATGCCAGGGAAGTAAAATAGTGTGTAAGAAGGTAATGGCGCAGAAATCTATCCAAAAATGTTTTTATTATATAAATTACACAATATTTACCCTCTGTAAGGTTGCTGCCTATCCACTGTATTATTAGCGCTAACCTACCCCTTTTTATCTTAAGGGGTAGTTTACAATGCAGGTTTAAATGCATATAGTGGCTGGCACTGAGACTGTCAGATGGTCTCATAGGGACCATTAGATTGGCACTGGCACAGAGCTGTATTTTGCTGCACATGCTCACTAACCTCCAAATTCTTTACTATGGGAAAGCATTGGATTGGCTGAGATCTCAATGATCTCAGCCAAAAGAAGCAAAGTGGGATGAAAGAGGAAAAGAAGGTAAGAAAACTCACCTATTTAAGCCTGGAAGCGAATGCCAGGTCACCTAAATGGTGATTAGGGAAATATAGCGTTAGTAATATTAAAGACAGGGGTAAATCCCCAGGTTTCATTTATAGCTTTCACCTAGTCCCCACTTACAGGCTGGACCTGGACTAGTGACCTGACCATCGCATAAAGCCTTAGCACAACCCAGCACCTGCTTGGTTGGTTAATTAATAGTACTAGCCAGGGCTGCCATCAGACATGTTTGGGCCCCTTACACAGCTCAAGGCCTGCTCTCACAGGACCTGCCCTGGAATCTGGCCACAAGTCACACCCATGAGTCTGCTCACAGGGAGTGGAATGTATGTGTGTGGGGGATGTGTTGTGCTTTACTGTGAAGAATGTAATGTGTGTGTGCTTATGGATTGTATATATAGGGAATCCAAGTTGTGTATTAAATGTAGTGTGTGTATAGTGGATGCAGTGTGTGTTTTTGTGTAAGAGATGCATTATGTATTTCTGTGTGTGTGTGTGTATGTGTGTGTAAGAGATGCATTGTGTTTACGTGTGGCATGGCGTCTGTGAGTTTCTGTGTTGTAAGGGAAGCATTCTGTGTCTGTGTGTGTGTGTGTGTGTGGGGGGGGGGGTTACAGGAGCTGAGAGAAGGAAGCCACTTTTTTATATATGCTTTTTTATTTTGTAAAGTTTATTTCCCCTCCTTGTCTCCTACCTATGCCTAGAGAGGAAGCACAGACCATTTCCCAGTGGTCCCGTGGTACTGTAGAGGCTCACTGTAGAGGCTCATCCTTCCCCTCTGCTGGTGAAAGTCTCTTCTTGCGAACCCCCGGGGCCATGTGGAATAGTAATTGCTGCAATGTTCCAAAAGCCAGAGTTCATGAGAATTAGGAGCTTACTTGTGTGTAATTGTGTGTTTGTATATTTTATATATATATATATATATATATATATATATAAAAAAATGATTTAATGTAGGTGTTTCAATAA